CCCCAAAACCCCAAAACCCCAAAACCCCAAAACCCCAAAAAATATGGTTTTTATTGAAATTAAGTTATTGTAGGGGTAAAAAATATTCGCAAATATTCTCAGATCCCTATTAATACTTATAAAGGACTCTCTATTAGACTTAGTCTTCTTCTTAACTTCATTCCATCTTTCCCCTTCCCAACAGTATTCTTCTTTCTTAAATGATCTATAAAAATTGTACCTATCCTTAACCCTCTACTTACGGTGAATAATGATTCTAAGCCCTCTCATCTTCAATCTATCCACTCTACTATTAATCCTATCAAGCCTTTCAATAAAATCAGCTCCATCAACCTCGCCATCCTTCTGCTTAATCCTCTCAATCAACTTCCCCATTTTCACATCTAAAATTCACTCTTCAATTTACCTTTCTTCTGGCTAGCTTTCTCCTTAACTTTCTGTTCAAAAATTCTCTCCTTTTCTCTACGTAATTTCTGTTCCTTTATTAACTTGTTCACTTGTTTCTTTTTGGTGTTGATGTCTGAGAGGAGGACACGAAGACTTTTGGGTTTTATTATCAGAGGAGATGCTATCTCTGAATGATCATCGGAAGGATTGGAAACCTTGAATGAACTTCTGGAAGTCCTTTTAGTAGAAGAATGTTGTGCTTTTGGGCACATTTTTAGTTGAAGGATTGGGCCTCCTTTGCAAGGACTGATCGCTATAGACTTGCATAAAAAATTGTACAAATTTGCACAAAATCCTTACGTTTCTTCACTTCAGAGCAAGCCCTCTTCATAAACAACCCCACCGTCGGTCACTCAAGCGACCTCTTCCTCTTCAAGAGGGGCGATTCCAGACTCCCCCTATTCCTCACCGGCAAATTCTGAAACTTAACAGGCGAGTTTGGCTGAGAAGTTGGGAAAAAGAGGGTTTTGGCAGGACTGGCTGGGATTTTAGGACTGTTATTTAGGTTAGCTTTCATTGTGAAGTAGTTGTATTCAGAGTTTATAGCGTCCTGGTTGTACTTAGTGACGTATCTGTCGTTGTAGCATGAGGGTCTAGATTTAGAGGGGTTTTGGACGTTTTAGGAGATAGTATAGATTGGAAAATGAGGATTAAAATTCTTCAGTAAAAATAGCACTACAGGATTTTATAAGTAGGGAAGAATTGATATGTTTGGAAAAATTCACAATCTTTCTTTTAGATAAAGCACGGGAATGGAGAGACTTTTAAAATATTGTATTTCTAATAGTTTTCTCTTGAGATTCATGAAACAGGTTATTCTTTATACTGAAAAGTTAGTCAGTAAATCAGGATTTTTATATTAAAATTTTAATGTCCGTTTTTAAAAGAGAATCTAATTCTCAAGATCCGTTACAAATTGGGACAAATAGACTTGTGGCTTACTTTAAGTCAAATTTTCCTTTTAGGCTTCCCAATGGCTGGGCAACCTTCTCCCCCCTTGTCCTAATGGGATCCAAGTCAACTGACTTTTTAGACACTTTTGACACTGTATCAGTATTATGAAAAGTTGGTGATCGTTCAGCTACAGCTTTAGAAATCACAAACCTACAATGGTGCTTCTTGAAGCTCAGTATTTGGGAGGATTTGGATACATTAAGAGACTCAGGCCTCTTGAAACTCTTAGAATTGTCCTATACAACACATTAATACAGTTCCAAGTTAGTTATGGGTTCAGGGTATCGACATTTTCCATATTTCCAACCGAGTTGGTACGAAATTTTCATAAATGCTGATGTTTAATACCTTATTTCTTCCCTCTGAAATGACCTTGTAATTAATCAGATTCTTTGCAGTACCAATGCTGAACAAGTCTTCATTTATACTGGAGGGGCTTTGAGAGACCAGTTCTCTCTGAATCTCTCAGAGTCAATTGGAACATTGATTGCAATTACCAAAATTTGAGCAAGATAAGTGTGGAGTTTGCATATTGAGGTTTATTATTATTAAGATAACTTGCAATATCAAGGGAAATTATAGGGGTTTTGGGGTTTTGGGGTTTTGGGG